ACTCCAAGGTAGAGCTGCTCAGTCAGAATTTGCAGACGTCCAGATTTGTAACTGGCATCTGAAGTGGCAGGCCAGTTACAAATCTGGATGTGGGCTGGAGACCTTAACCTGTGAATCCGATGCTATCTCCAAGAAGTGTTTGAATTCAGCTGAATTAGAGGACACTTGCTGGTGTCTGCTGGAGAATCTCCTGCAGAATCCCTTGCTTCTGATGTGTGGAAAGAACCCCACACATCTGATCACAGAAGCGTTCTGTGTTTATTGCTGTGTAAGAGTGTGAAAAATTACTATTTTTCTTTATATTCTTAGAGACTCTAATGTTCATAGATTGGATGACCATATTGTTAATATGCCAAAACTACCCAAAATGATCCACATATTTAATGCAATATTTATTAAAATTTCAATGGGATTTCCTTGAAAAAATGCTTTTTAAACTCTCAAGTTGTTTCTCTGTGTTTTACTGATATTCTTTGGAGTTTTCTTAAAACACATGTTTCAAGGTCTTTGACTATGAGACCACACATCTTCATCACTTTAGTGTCAACCTCTGGTGCTTTAGCTTTCAAGTCATGGTTTTATGAATGTATTTGATGCTTGTGGGCATCAAATGAGCACATTACATGATTAGGTATTTATTACAGCCTCAGCGGTCTGGCTTTGTGCTTATTCTTTCACAGATTCTAAGCAGGTTGGTTATTGTGTTCTCCTATGGTCACTGCTTCTTTTCAGCATTAGAGGGTGCTCTAAGCCTAGGTTTGCACATGTTCAAAGTTGCTGTGTTGTTCTGGCCGGAAAAGACTAGAAGAGGGCTTGAAGTGGCTACTCCAACCCACTGGCTTTGCAAGTTTCCTGATGGGACTGGGGCAGGTCCAGAGATTCTGTTTATGGTCCTCTGGTTGGGGTCAGGCACTTTAGTGCTCTGCCCAGTGTGAGGCCCGGCACTGGGCTTCATGGCAACATGTGCCTGCTTCCCTCTCCTTCCTTTAAGCAGACACTGCCTCTGTCTGTGCTGTGCTTCCTGGGGTAGGGGAATGATGAGACTGGCAGTCTCATGGCTCCCACAGCTGCTGTAATGCTGAGTCACACCCAAAGCCCACAGCCAGAGACCAGCACAGCACAGAGTGATGCCCAAGGCCCACACTGCTACAACTGCCTGCCACTGAGGTTTATGTGTGTCTCAAGGCTGCTGCAGAGCGTCAGTGGTGATGTGGGCTGGGAAACAAGACTGTCTCACCAAGGCTGTGGGTCTCTATCTGGCACTGTGGCGGGTCCAGCAGCTCCGTCCACAGACACCAGCCTGGAGTCAAGGCCACTGGGTTTTGCCTAGTGTTGGATTTCACCATGGCCAGCCTGGCACTGGGTTTCCAGGCAAAGCCTTGAGCTCATGTTCCTCTCCTTTTCCCTAGTAGATAGTCACTTCCAGTATTGTGCTGCTGAGGAATGGTGGGGACAGTCCCTTGGTCACCAAGGCTTAGCTGGGCAATGCCCAAAGCTCATGGAAATTGGAACCAGAAAAAAACCTGGAGCATGTCCCAGACCAGTGCTGATATGCTCCGCCTGCTGCTCAAGTTTACTCATCGCCCAATGCCACTGGAGAAGGCCAGCAGTGATACAAACCAGAACCTGAGACTGTCCTGTTGGGGCTGCAGTTTTCCACCAGGTGCTGGGGGGAGTCTAGGGACTTTGTCCATGGGTCCTGGTCTGGGGTCAGGACTGTAGGGTTCTCCCTGGCATTGCATTTTACTGTGATGGGCCCAGCACTGGCCTTCAAGTCAAAACCCTTCACTCTCATCACTTTCCTTCCTCAAGTGAGCCATGTCCCTGAGCTGCACTGCCTGGAGTTGGGGAAAGGGGGAGATTAGCAATGGAATATTGTCTTTCCTCCATATTCAAAGCCTCTTTTCTTATTGCTGTGCTAAAATCAGGTACTCTGATCTCTCACCTGGTTGCCTTAGCTCTTGTGAAGGTATTTCTGTGCTTAGTTGTTCAATTTTATTTTTCTGCGGAGGAGATGATTTCTGGAGGGTCCTATTTCACCATCTTGCTTCATTCTTCCCTCAATTAAAGATTATTTCCCAAAGCCTCCTTCTGATTTTCCTGGAGCTGACTCTCCTGTCTCCATCTTTAAGGGTTTTTCATATTAAATATTTAGCCTTAAATGGCTTTAAGTTTTGGCAGATAAATTTCTCTTGGGGAAGGAGCAGAAACAACCCTTGTATTCATATACAAAAGAGAGGGAGAGGAAAGCCCTGTCCACTTCTCTCCAGGTCTCCAGGGCTGAATTCTCTTGCCACGAGCTTTGCTCACTCCACTTAGACCTGCTGGGAAGTGGGCACAGATGACGGAGCCGGGACTGTTTACCATTTAGGCCTCAAGGTTTGCTGATATCTCATCTCCATAGTTTTCCTTCTGCCCGTTCTCTCCTTTCATAGGATTTGAGTGATGTAGCTCTGCCTGTGGAAACTATCTACCTCCTACCACCTTCTCCATCAAATCTTCCGCGCTCATATTTATTTGTAGTGTGTGCTCCTGGAGTCTCCAAATTGACTGAGGTGGTTCCTCTTGTGCCTATTTGGGATACAGACTGGCTGGAAGTTTCCAAACGCCCTGTGAGAAGCTGCGTCTGTAAGATAGATGTCTTGGTACACCATGGTCTTTCCACAGTCTCTCTTGGTCTCTGTTTTCTTGGCTGGGCACTAAATTCGATAACTAATGATGAGTGAAAAAAGAGTGACAAGGAATTGAAGAATACTTTCTTCACTTTATGTTTTCATGGATCCAAGGCATGCCCCAGCCAACACAGCAGATAAAGCAGGACATTGAGAATTTCAGTGCTCCAGTGGGGGTTCCAGCAGGAGGCACCCAATAATCACTACAGAGTGAGCTCTAACCATCCTGCTCTGGCGGGCAGGAGACTAGGAACCTGCCTTTTCTGCTCTGAACGGCACAGATGCATCTCTGGTGCGTCTAGGGGGACAGTTCGAGGAAGGTAAATTTTAGAAAACTGTGGCCATGTTTGAAAGACTGGAGAGGGCTGAACTCACTGAAAGGCTTCTATTACTCTATGAGCAGAGAGACAGGAGGCTATAGAAGAGATAATCATAGTGAAAGTTGTGAGGATCCAGAGTAAACAGGAGGGAAAGGGAGACTTCATCCTATAGGAAGGGCCAGGCCAGAACCATCCTTCAGCACAGCAGTCCCAGGTACCACAGGCTTGTGAAGCTAAACCTGTCTGACCTCACATTTGGTAATGACACCTGATCTCTGGTCAGATGAGAGAGGCAGCAAGTGCTGACTCCAGGTTCTGTATAAAGTCTGATCAGTCATGCAGAACGACGGACATTGCACCAAAGGTCAATAATATTTTAACGAATAATATACCTGTAGCATTTATTTATTGCATTTTGTTATATAAGAAACAATTTCAGGCCAGGTGCAGTGGCTCACGCCTGTAATCCCAATACTTTGGGAGGCCAAGGTGGGTGGATCACGAGGTCACGAGTTCAAGACCAGCCTGGCCAAGATACTGAAACCCCATCTCTACTAAAAATACAAAAAATTAGCTGGGTGTCGTGGCAGGAACCTGTAATCCCAGCTACTCAGGAAACTGAGGCAGGAGGATTGCTTGAACCCAGGAAGTGGAGGTTGCAGTGAGCTGAGATCATGCCACTGCACTTTAGCCTGGGCAACAGAATGAGACTCCGTCTCAAAAACAAAACAAAACAAAACAAACAAAACAAAACAAAACCACTTTCTCTATTGGTTCATTTAAAACATTTAATCACACTAAAATGATTCTTAAATAATTTCACAGATGAGAATTGTGAGTTTCAGATTGGGGAATCATTTGTCCATAGTCACAATTAATAAGACTCATGACATAATTGCTTGCATGTGGTTAGTTCACAGATTTAATTAAAATACCTTTGATGAGAGTTTACTTATAGATTTTCAAGTATTTTAGAATCAGCAGTCAGTAGTCACCTTTAGCATCTCATTGTAGAATGGTCAGGATATTTACACCACACCTTATGTCATGTCCTCATGGTAAAATGTATCATGTATTTAGAGTGTATTCATCTCTGTGAATGTATCTAAAAGGCATATGCCAAGTCAGCCTGGAGAATATTTGACTGGGCCCCAAGCAGATTTTGACCTTTTAATATACACAGCTACCTTTTCCCAGTGGAAAGGGAGATAGTCCTTGACCATTTCCTGTGGACGTTGCCAGAGATGGTGCAGGCTGAATAAGAATGCCCACCATCTATCCAGGAACCAGTGTTCTTCAAGGATGTTGCTGTGGACTTCACCAGGGAGAGTGTGTCCTGCAGAGAAAGCAGCACAGAGGTGCTTTGCTAGAGAGGCATAGCCATCTGTGCATGGGATGTCTGTGGCTGACACTTCCAAACTCGTGTATTTAATACAAAGTCATCCAGAACACTTTCTCCGTATTCCACCCTGCCTGTATCCTGATTCCTAGACTTCCTTACATGTGCACGAAGGAAATGTGTTTATTCACATATTTACTTACTCATTCACTGACTGTGCAATGATGAGGGGGCACTGGCTCTGGGAAGGGAGGTTGGAGAAGGAGGCAGAATACAGTTTGGGGTTAAGGCTCGGTAATGGAAGAGAGACTGGGAAGCTGAGGACCAGGAGCAAGGAAAAGCTCTACTCAGCCTCCCCTGGTGATGCTATGCTCACCAGGGGCTGGCAGGACCTGCAGGTTTGTGACCTGAAGTGGAGGGTCAGTGCAGCCACATACCCAAGGCAGGCACCTAATGTGTGGGCTTCACTAGGAAGGAGGGTGTCCTGAGGACAGCAATAGAAACAGCGCTCCTGTTGTCTCACATTGGAGTTTCTTGTTCCCACATTCTCCTGTCCCAGTGAACAGCATAGGACCATCCTTCCCACATGCTGAGTTCCTTCCCTTTTGGCACAGGAAGGGGTGTGTTGATTTGAAGCCCTAAAATAAATATTCTCAGCACTCAGGACCTATTTGTCAATACTGATTGTACCTAAGAAAGTACCCTGGAGGAAGAGAAAAGGAGGAAGCGTCAGAAATGGCACCTTTCCTTATAGAATCACGGGTCTGTCTCCATCCTGCAGTGCTGTGTTTAGGACTTGCTCATCTTCTCCGACTCTGCAGTGTCCTGCCTCACACATTTGCTCACATTTACCGAGGGCCTGGCTTCAGCCCTCTCCCATCTCCTTGTCACAGCCTCCCAGTGAAATGAAAGCTGTGAAGAGCTTCTGTTTGGGGCATCATCCTTGGCAGGGCTCCACCCCAGACCTACGGTGGCAACGAAGAGCAGATCCTGTGTGGTCAGTGGGGTTGGGCTGCAGCAATTGTTCAGAGTCCACATCTGGATACACTGTCTGCTCTTTGTGGTCCAGGATTAAAGAAACAGCACACCTCAGTGCTGTATTAATGGCAGGAAGAGCTGGAAAATTCAGGACAAGGAAGATTTTTGAAAAGGAAACTGCTCTGCCTAATGCTGCAATGAACTTGAAGCTAAACCGAGTGAATCAGTATACTTTTGACTTTAAACTAGTAATTACAATTTTAGAAATACAATGGAAAAGAATATTCAAAACCTGATACTAGTGAAAAATAAAGGTTCCACTACATTTAGGTAATAAAGGGTGTTTTTTTCTATCATTGCTTTAAAAAAGTTGAATCAACCTAAATATCTAATGCTAGCAAGTTGTTTAAATCATTGACAGCACATCCATCTCAATGAAATCTTGTTCATGGAGGTACTCTCATTCATCTTTTGTTATAGGTTAAAGAAATTTAAAATTCTGCTGAGACATTGAAGCAGACAACTTTCTTAGCCATCCAGAGGTTGAAGCAAAATTCTGGTTATTAAATATTATTTTTCTTGTAAATAATATATTTATCTTGTGGTAAAATTATTAACAATGACACAGCTTTGATACTAAGGAGTAAAACACCCTTCCTTGTCACATCCTCCACTACCAATCATTGTCTCTACTGGGAGCCACTGTCATCATGGTACTACATATTAAAATATTTGCTTTTAAGCTCTGTCTTGGAGTATTTTCTTAGTTAGGACATATGGGTACTATACAATTTTTACTATTATAAATAATGTGACTGTGGATTCTGTGGGCCGTGATGATGTCATGGCAGACGTCAGGTTTTTTCTGGGTTGGGCAACTTGAAGTGTGAGTGTGGGGCCAAATTTTTGATACATTCTGGAAAGATCCCTTTCACAAAGCTGCAAAGATAGTCTCTCCCACCAAAGACGTGTGCTTTCCCTCCTGCTTTAACCGATACCTAGTAAGACACTCTTTTATTTTTATTTTCTTTGTTTTTTGATCTAAGGTCTCACTCTGTTACCCAAGCTGGAGTACAGTGATATCAACATAGTTCACTGTAGCCTCAACGTCTTGGGCTCAAGTGATCCTCCCACCTCAGCATCCTGAGTAGCTGCAACCACAGGCATGTGCCACCATACCAGGATAATTACACACTCTTTTATATACAGGATAATTACGTTTAAGTTGTGAAAATAACATGTTTTCTTTTGGATTCCTACTTATTTGACTATATGTAAGCCTGGCATTCTATGTGTGAAGTTTATTTTCATTTTTGGGTCATTTTTTGAGTCATTGTTTATTTTGTTTTAAGTAGTATTAAGGTCATTTTATTTCAATATTGTTTGGTATGTGTTTTGTATTTGATTCATTTAGAAGTTTAAGATAATACATCGTATTAGTCTGTTCTCACACTGCTAATAAAGACATATCCGAGAGTGGGTAATTTATCAGGGAAAGAGGTTTAATTGACTCAGTTTCACATGACTGGGTAGCCCTGGCAATCATGGCTGAAGGCAAATGAGGAGCAAAGTCATGTCTTATATGATGACAAGCAAGAGAGCTTTTGCAAGGGGAATCCCATTTATAAAAGTGTCAGATCTCATGAGACTTATTCACTCCCACGAGAACAGTATAGGGGAACCACTCCCATGATTTAATTATCTCTACCTAGCCCCGCCCATGACATATGGGGATTATTACAATGCAAGATGAGATTTGCGTGGGGGCATAGCCAAACTATATTATACATGTAAGTTTCTATCAAACTTGACAAGCCCTCCATTTTGTTTCCTTTTACTATAATTTTGTCTCTTGATTAATACATAAGAGACTTTTTTTGAAATATGTTGACTTCAGGTTTAAAGTACACTAAATTTGTGTCGTAAAGATCTTTATTTTACTACCTTTTCTGATCCAAGGATTTGATTTGTCTTAAAACATGTCTTTTTGTGTGTGTGTCATTCAGTGAAGTTTTATGATTTTTTGCAGGCCTAGACATGTCTTGTAAATGTGTACTTTGGTACATTTGATAATCAAGATAGACGTTGATTGTCTCTGTTATGCTGTTGTTATTCCTGTTGTTCATCCATTATTACTACTGAAGAGTAGTATGTTGACCATGCATTTACCCAATTTTCTGGATGTTGTGTTTCTAACAGTTCATGTTCTGAATGTTAAAATAGATTTTCTTCCTTTTCTAGTTTACATCCATGTCATCTGTGAACAGCTACAATTCAGATTCTTTGAATCAGCTTCTTTCCTGTTTTTCTTCTCTTCCTTGTTTTGGTTCCTATTCAGCCATCTCACACAGTGGTGAATTGTGAGAGCCCAGTCCCCTCCATCTTTTAACTTTACCTTTATTGAAATACTTCTAATTTTTTTCTTGATTAGTATATTTGCAGAATTTTCCTTTTTTACTAAGAATTTTTAAATTATGCTATTTTGCATGTGTAATCATCAAATACTTTATTCTAGGATCTAATGTTGTAATTTTTCTTTCTTTAATTTTTTGACTTAATGCATAAAGTTTGAATTGTAAATTATTGTTTTATTAGCAGGATAAAATTCAATTTATATTAATGGCTAAATTTAAATGGATTACATTGTTTATGTTTTTGTTTGTTTGTCTCTGATGGAGATTAAAGCTAAAATATTCTATATGTTTTATTTTCATTTAATATGGTTTTAAAATGATCAAATTAACAAAATGAACAATCTTACAATATTCACATTGCACAGAAACTCTATCTGATGTAAAATTTATGCACACTCATGCTGAAATAAATCAGATCTTATCAGGTTCCCAATAAAGGCCAGGGTAATCTTTAAATTTAAATATAAATATTGGTTAATTATATTTCCTTCTTTTTCTTAATATACTCTGTATTAGAAAACTTTAACATTGACAGCAAAATTAAACAAAAGGTATGTTGCTCTCGTGTACACCTTACGCCTCTGGAAGTTATCAGAATCAAAATGGTCTCACTAAGACCAAGAAAATCTGGGCAGGCCGGGCGCGGTGGCTCAAGCCTGTAATCCCAGCACTTTGAGAGGCCGAGACGGGCGGATCACGAGGTCAGGAGATCGAGACCATCCTGGCTAACACAGTGAAACCCCGTCTCTACTAAAAAAATACAAAAAACTAGCCGGACGAGGTGGCGGGCCCTGTAGTCCCAGCTACTCCGGAGGCTGAGGCAGGAGAATGGCGTAAACCCGGGAGGCGGAGCTTGCAGTGAGCAGAGATCCGGCCACTGCACTCCAGCCCGGGTGACAGAGCGAGACTCCGTCTCAAAAAAAAAAAAAAAAGAAAAAAAAAAAAAAGAAAGAAAACCTGGGCAAATAGACCCAAGAAGGCCATCATTAGAGGATTGTCATGTTTGTATGTCTGATAACAAAAACTATCAGAAAAGACTTAAAAAACCGCAACCTTGCACAAAGGCCATTGTAGCCTTACACAGAAAAGACACCTGCAGTGACACAGGCCCAGAAACTGCTGGTCTAACCTCAGACTCATCACCCTTGTTACTGATCTTTGCAGCCAAGAATAATTAATTCAAAAACAACTATGCAATCCTCCACATTAAAAATTTTGTTCTTCTTTACCTCTATTAATATGCACATGGTTTACTATGACATTTACATTCTCATTACAATAATTTATTCCAAGTAAATATTTTTTACTTGAGAGACTCTTTGTTTGCTGTTTAGGTTTACACATATGGTGTCATAAATGGGACCTGCAAAGTTTACAATTGGAAGGAATTGGTGATTCTTGGAGCATGCATGCAGTCTTCACTTTATACCCTTTAGCGCTCTGCTTCTATAAGTCACCCTTTCTGCCCTGGTGAGTCTTCTTTCAGTTTAAACCTCAGTTATTTGATACATGATTTTTGGTATGTTGAGGTCTGGTTTGAATAAGGCTCCTTTAATAAAAGACCATATATCGCTCCTAGAACAATGAAAGCTTTTTTGTCATTTCTGGTAAGTCCTTTCTGCTATAAAGACAAACATCTTTCTGGATTGTGTACTCTTGGTTTCTACAGAACTTACCTTCTGTTTGTGAAGCATTTATTTTCTAGTTTGCACACATAGTTTTATATTTTGTTTGATTTACACAGCAAGGTTATATTTTATATGAACGTTTTTATCTTGGGCTCCTTTGAATTTGTTTGACGTTTCCCCCTTACTTGTTTCTAAAAAGTGACACTAGCTTAGTTGCCACTATCTAAAACACTGGGCTAACCTCCTGGCATTTTCTTACAAGATTTATAGAATTTCCTTTGCTCTCTAGATATTAATAAGAAACAGAATAGGATTCTCAAACATTCAGATATGCTAGGATTCTTGGACTCCTCGTGGCTACATAGTATGATGTTTCTTTTGGACATTTTAAAATAAAAAGGCAAAATTACATCAGGAAAATTTAGGGCTTAAATGGTTATTATTTTAAAAACTCACAACTATAGAGTTAACATATGGAGTCCTCTAAGTTCTCTATTTTTTTCCTGCTTACTCTGTATCTGCTTGCTTTTCTACTGTTGTTGAGATAAAACTCACTGCTTATGGTATTCCAGCCAAGATGTGTGTTTTTTTATAAAATTATACTTTATGTTCTAGGATACATGTGCACAACATGTAGGTTTGTTACATATGTATACATGTGCCATGTTGGGGTGCTGCACCCATTAAATAGTCATTTACATTAGGTATGTTTCCTAATGCTATCCCTCTCCCCTCCCCCACCCCACAATAGGCCCTGGTGTGTGATATTTTCCTTTCTGTGTCCAAGTGATCTTATTGTTCAAGTCCCACCTATGAGTGAGAACATGCGGTATTTGGTTTTCTGTTCTCGCTATAGTTTGCTGAGAATGATGCTTTCCAGCTGCATCCATGACCCTACAAAGGACACAAACTCATCCTTTTTTATGGCTGCATAGTATTCCATGGTGTATATGTGCCACATTTTCTTAATCCAGTCTGTCGTTGATGGACATTTGGGTTGGTTCCAAGTCTTTGCTATTATGAATAGTGCCGTAATAAACGTACATGTGCATGTGTATTTATGGCAGCATGATTTATAATCCTTTGGGTATATACCCAGTAATGGGATGGCTGGGTCAAATGGTATTTCTAGTTCTAGATCCTTGAGGAATCGCCACACTGTCTTCTACAATGGTTGAACCAGTTTACAGTCCCACCAACAGTGTAAAAGTGTTCCTATTTCTACACACTCTCTCCAACACCTGTTGTTTCCTGACTTTTTAATGATCGCCATTCTAACTGGTGTGAGATGATATCTCATTGTGGTTTTGATTTGCATTTCTCTGATTCAAGTGATGATGAGCATTTTTTCACGTGTCTGTTGGCTGCATAAATGTCTTCTTTTGAGAAGTGTCTGTTCATATCCTTTGCCCACTTTTTGATGGAGTTATTTGTTTTTTCCTGTGCCTCACTCTTCTCAGTGTTCTGAGAGTAGGATCGCCACCCCAACTTGAGCTCGGGCCACAGTTATGAGCTCAATACCCCTTAACTGTGCTCAAACTCTGGGAAGCTGGGACAGGTCTTGTAGCTGTATCCTCTTGTACCTCAGGCATAAGCTGTGCTGGAGCAGGAAAACTGCTTTTGGTCTGCCAGAAAAACACTCAGGTGGTACAGTGGAGGCTGTGCTATGTGTACACCCTTGAGGGAGCAACCAGGCATCAACTGGGGAAGGGCCCGGCAGAAAAGGGGCTGTACAGATCAGATGCACTTCAGACCCTCAGGAAAGGCAGCCCTGCTCTCTCCTGGTCCAGCTGTCAGCAGGGACTAGAGTCATGCAGAGAAAGATGGAGAGCCTTGAGGAATGGGTGCCTATTCCTGTATTTTGCTACAGCTGCCTCATGCATGAAACCTTTTGGGCTCCATGCATGTTTGAGCTCCGCCTCTCCCTACTCTCCTGGCAGTGCCCTCTGCCAGTTCAAATGTCTGTGTGGATCATGGGATCTCTTGTAGCTAGGATCTTAGAGGTCCACGGCAAGCTTGTGACCCATAGTTCCTTCACTCTCTCCTTCCTTAGGTCCCGTTCTGGACCAAGAGCTGGTCCTGGTGTCTGGTGACTCCGTCTGGCTTCCTAGCTTCCTCCCTCTTCAAACTCAGTGTCTGTATTGCCGCTCTATTGACTTCATGTGTTTCTTTTTTTCCCAAAGATCTGTTCAAAGTGTGACGATTTACTTAATATTTTGTTTTCTCTCTGTGGAAGAGGTGTTTCCTGACTGCATCTGGTTGACCATCTTGTCCCCCAGCTAAAAGTGTAATTTACATTTTGATATGGTTTGGCTCTGTGTCTGAACTTTATTACAACTAAAAATTACTACTTTTATGTTAGACTATTCTCAGTCTTCCTTCTTCATTACCAAACCTTATTGTTTGATCCTATAGAGGCAGTGGAAATTGCATCTTCAGAAGATCGACATGTGGATGGAGAGATTGAAGTTCTTCAACAGGCATTATATATGAAAATGATGCAAAATAAATGTGAAACACTACAGATGGATGAGGAGAGGTTGGAAGAAGAACTAGTGAACCTCAAAAGTCACATGGAAATGAATATGTTAGAACGTGGTCTATTGGAACACCATAAACAGGAGGTTGAAGAAGAGCAAGGCAGGAGATAATAGAACAATTAGAAAAAGTCAATCTATTTTTACAGGTTAGTTTATTATCCATAATGTGCCTTCATTCATTTCACTGCAAATTATAGTTTGGATATAAACATTGTATGTGTTTCCTCTACTTCTCTTATAGCAATTTGTTTGGTAGATTTCTAGAAGGAAGGTGATATCTGTTTCTCTCTCTAAATATTTCACTTGCCACCATTATTGTAACTAAATTGATCTTCCATAATAATGATTCTCATTAGTGAATCATTTGATTACTAAAATCAGTTGGCATAAAACAAGACTAATAGAGAAAGAAAAATGTGATTTAAAAATTATACTACACTCTTAAAATATTCTTAAGTTATATTGTTCAACTTTTTAGAATTTAAATTGATTCTGTTATTCTTTGGAGTGTTACATTTCATGAGTACTACCAAAAGTATGATTTCATTTGTTTATAATTCAGATTAAATTATTAACTTAGCTGATACTGACAATAAATATATTAAACTTGAGATTCTTTTTTCATATAGTTAAAAATGCTCTCTAGATCACTGACCCAAAACAAAAAGAAACAAATATACGATAGTTATTCAGGCTATAACTTTTTATGTACCCTTTTAATTTGTTTTAGACACAAGAAACATCTCAAGAAGAGCTACAGTGGTTACCAGAAGAAAACATTGCTTCCATGTAAAGTCAGATGGAACTTATAATTGAAAATCTGGAATTCCAACTCTACAAAGCAAACACTTCACAAGCAGACTATACTACAGCAGAATTGGAAACATATAAGAAACTGCATCTAGAAGAATTAAAAGCTAGAGAATCTCTGTCAGATAAATTAAGCAAGTACGTCAAAGACAGAATCACAGAAAATAAATGAAGATCATTAATTTGCCTCAAAAGCATAATTTTTAGTGAGACAGATTCATAAGATTGGGGGAAGCAAAAGCTAACTAGATTAGACAATTTTGGAAAATGATGTTAGTAAATGAACTTACTTTTAAAATGTTAGTCTAGGACAATTCATACCACTCCCCTGTTTTTTTTGGTGGGGGTTTTTGTTTGTTTGTTTTTCTTTTGTTTTCTGTTTCTTTGAGATGGATTCTCACTCTGTTGCCCAAACTAGAGTGCAGTTAGTGGCATGATCTGGACTCACTGCAACTGTGCCTCCGGAGTTCTAGCAATTCTCCGGCCTCAGATTCCCAAGTATGACCTTTCATGATCTCGCCACGCCCAGCTAAGTTTTGTATTTGTAGTAGAGACGGGGTATCACCATGTTGGCCAGGCTGGTCTCAAACTCTTGACCTCAAGTGATCTGCCCACCTTCGCCTCGCACAGTGCTGGGACTACAAGCATGAGCCATCATGCCTGGCCTGATTTTTGGTTTTATATGGTTCCTTTTCCCCTTAATATTCTTATGTAGTTAACCTGATCTATTAATTTTTCTGCCAAGTATCTTGAAGCTTCATAATTTAGACAGTGATACTGTTATACAATTGTTTGTCAGCATTCCTCTATATAGAAATATTTAGTTTAATTATTTTTGATAAGATTACAACTTAAACTGAAAAAAGGGTCAGGTACTTCTACTCCTTTGCACATTCTGGCACTCAGTAAATTAACTTTCCTTGATTGCAATCTTTGGTATTATCCTTAGAGGTCACCTTGGAACAAAGTATATTGTACAGTTTTTCCACTCCACATAAAGGCATAGTTGTGAAATAGGGAATGGTAAACACAGGCTTGAAAGGAAATATAATTCATAAAGTGGTGAAAAATAACACCTTGGTCAGCCTGAAGTGGTGGGTGGAAGACCAAAAGGGCAGGCCCTACTTCTGATGCCTTGGCCACGATTTTAGGAGCAAAATGCCTTTGGAGATGATTAAGTTCTCTTTGATCTCAGCTGTCTCCTTCTCCCCTGAGAGTTGTTGTTCTGAATGATTCCTTGGTGCCAAATGCTTAATTTTTCTCAGATAATGGGTGAAATGTACAAGAGTGTTCAATAGAAATGTTTGAAAATGTCTTTGAGAGACAGTGTTTTTTTTTGTTTGCTGTAACTGGTTTACTAAATACAAGCTTCATTTTATTTATTTTACTGTCCATATTTAAGGAGTAAGACATGATGTTTTAATATATTTATACACAGTCAAATGGTTACTCTGGTCCAGCGAATTAGCATCTTTAACATTTCATGTAGTTACTCTTGAAACACAAGTATTTTTTTCTTTTCTTTTCTTTTCTTTTCTTTCTTTCTTTTTTTTTTTTTTGAGATGGAATCTCCCTATGTCGACCAGGCTGGAGTGCAATGGTGGGATCTCGGCTCACTCCAAACTTTTCCCAGATTCAAGCAATTCTCTTGCCTCAGCCTCCCAAATAGTTGGGATTACAAGCGTCCACCACCACGCCCAGCTAAGTTTTGTATTTTAGTGGAGACGGGTTTCTTGCCATGTGGTCAGGCTGCTCTCCAATTCCTGAACTCAGCTGATCCGCCGTCCTCAGCCTCCAAAGTGCTGGGTACAGGGTGAGCAACCACCACACCACCACTGCTGGCCTTTTTTTTTTTTTTTTTTTTTTTTTGGAGATGGAGTCTTGCTCTGCTCTGTCACCCAGCCTCAAGTGCAGTGGCACAATCTCGGGTCACTGCAACCTCCGCTTCCCAGGTTCAAGCGATTCTCCTGCCTCAACCTCCTGAGTGCTGGAATTACAGGCGCCCAGCACCGCGCCCGGCTAATTTTTGTATTTTTAGTAGAGACGGGGTTTCACCATGTTGGGCAGGCTGGTCTCAAACTCCTGATCTCAAATGATCCGCCCGCCTCGGCTTCCCAAAGTGCTAGGATTACAGGTGTGAGCCACCGACCCCGGCCTAAACACAAATATTTCTTTTTGTTTGTTTGTTTGTTTTTGTTTTGAGGCAGAATTTCGCTCTTGTTCCCCAGGCTGTAGTGCAATAGCGCGATTTTGGCGCACCGCATCCTCGGCCTCCAGGGTTCAAGTGTTTCTCCTGCCTTACCCTCCCGAGTAGCTGGCATTACAGGCATGCACCACCAAGTCCAGCAAATTTTTGTATTTTTAGTAGAGACAAGGTTCTCCGTGTTGATCAAGCTGGTCTCAATCTCCCCACCTCTGGTGATCCTCTGACTCTGCCTCCCAAAGTGCTGGGATTACAGCCATGAGACACTGTGCCTGGGCTAAACACAAATATTTCTAATGATATCTTTAAGAATCTTATAAGTAGAGCCATTTCAGAAGGCAACAAGTGTGACTTGTTAATCCATACATCATTAATAGCTTTTGCTCTTCCCTCCCTACTTTGTTTGAATTACTTATTTGTTAGAAATCCTCGAGAAATATATGTACTTCTTTACAACAACTTTAAAATTATAACTGTATACAGCATATAGGCTCTAATACACTTTCAGAGTTAAAACATGGTTTGTTGTATCTTTCATTGACTCATGGTCACTATTTAAACAACGCAAGTCATTTAGACACATTTGTTAAAAAACAAAATACTCAGTATCTGTCTTTTGCAATCTTCACAGACCTAAAGAAATTCTAGCAGATGTCAGTACCAAACTTCTTCAAGAAAATGAGTGGAGCAGATCTTTATTTACTTCTCATACTACAAGGCCAGTCCTAGAGTCACCATGCAATGGAAATCTTAATGATAATTTAGATCTCAACAGAATACATATCCCAAGAGAAACCTTAATGATTCCTACTTCAAGCTCATTGTCTTCAAATATCAGAATGGAGAACGACTTGTCAAAAGTTAGGTATAGTATTGTTTTTTCTTTGGTTGTCAGACTTCTGATATAGTTCTCTCTATATTTTTGGCAAGATATTGAGTTGTCTAACTGACTCATGCATTTTAAATAAAGGTCATAATTATCTGTGTTTCTAAGGAAAGGAAACAAATCTTACAGCTTTTTTTTTTTAAGTCCCTGGGGTTTTAATTATTAAAAGATATTCATTTTTTAACTTTACTCAACAAATGTAACTATACCAGCACATTTTAAATTTCTGTAAAAATTGCATTTAAGTTAGATTGTGGAAATGTACTGATATTGCCTAACAACCAAAGTTATACTTGGAGATGCTTTGGCTTACTTTCTTTTTTTTTTTTTTTTAAGTTCTAGGGTACATGTGCACAACGTGCAGGTTTGTTACATATGCATACATGTGCCTTGTTGGTGTACTGCACCCATTAGCTCATCATTTACATTGAGTATATCTCCTAATGCTATCCCTCCCCCCACCCCCTACCCCGCAACAGTCCCAGTGTGTGATGTTCCCCTTCCTGTGTCCAAGTGTTCTCATTGTTCAATTCCCACCTATAAGTGAGAACATGCAGTGTTTGATTTTTTTGTCCTTGTCATAGTTTGCTGAGAATGACGGTTTCCAGCTGCATCCATGTCCCTAACAAAGGACATGAACTCATTCTTTTTTCTTACATGATTACATCCTTAATTGCTGTTGTACTTACAGCATTTCAATTCAATTGTTGCAAAATGTGCCTGTTACTGTGCAATTGTACAGTGGTTTTTAAATACTTAAAACAATATTTGAATTCTTAAAGTGAAGTTCACTTATGTCTATCTTACCATCACTCAAATGATTTATGGCTGAGATGGCAATGATATCAGGAGTAGTTAAATAGCAAATGTGACCAAACAGAATACATTATGTTCTTTCTACTCAGAATTCCATGTAAAACTGCACAGGGTTCCCAGATCCCTAGGACATGACACTTTCAAACTTTCAAGGTTCAACTAAACAAGAACTTTTTAATCCAACTGTTAGGGTAGCCAGTTAGTCAGACATTAACAGGCAGGAGGAAAGGTAGCTATGTAGGAAGAAACACTGCAGAACGACTCTTAAGATGCTCAGTAATTACTCATTCTATGGTTGAACTGTCAGAATGTGTTAACTACAATCTGATAAAGAAGGAGAAAGGCAAAAGGGGAATTCTTAAGAGCTGTGTGGGCACAATGAGTACAAATTTGAGTGCTATACTACCTTCCTGGGGTGGAGGTAATGAGCAATGCCATCATTGGGTAGAATTTGTCTTGATCACTGGGTTCTGCATATGCACATTAACCAAGAGTAAGGGAGGGTCTGCAGCCTGGGTGTGAACTGGGCAAGAACAAAGGCAGGAACCTAAAGAAGAAAGTGAGAGAAAAGATCAAATGCAGAATGTATTGAGGCTGTTCCCAGCCAAGTCAGCCCACTCTTCTCTTAAAGCATACTGTTACTTGCACAATAAATGTTTTGCTGGATTTACTAACTGGTTTTTTGGTTGAATTCTTTCTTGCAAAAAGACAAGAACTGAGGACACTTTCTGGAACTCCAGGCTTGGCCATACCTTTTGGTGCTGTGACTTGCATCTTGTCGTGAGGTAGGGACTGTGCTCGCCACTGTCTCCTCTCACATGTCTGCTCCTATGCAGCATAGACTGTGAGAATGCTGAGCATGCTGAGCAATCTCCCTAGCATCTCCACTTTGTGTGTTCAACTAGAGCACTTTCACCTAATGCCCAACAGAGCTCCCCAAGCACAGAATGCTTTTTTCTTGACAGAGAACCTAAGGCTTCTGATTACTTCCATATTCTCACAACTGACCTCTGGGGTCTCACCACCCTGTCTTTCTTCACAGTTGCTCCTGCTGCCCGTGCCATCATGGCATCTCTCTTGCTAGCCAATGCCACCTTCTTTGCCCTGTCTGTTCCCAGGTAGGTCCCAGTAGAATGGCTTTTTGCCTGCTCTGTCACCACCTCCTCTGCACTAATTCCACCTCCAGATGGAATGTAGGTAAATTTTAGGTGCTATGGTCTAGGTTTAGGGGTCTCCTTGGATGTACCTAGTACCCAATTTTCTCTCCATGTTCTTACCACTGAATTCTCAGGGATTTACCTATCAACTTCCCTCTTGTCTCTAGCCCTCCCCGCTGTCCTTGACATGCTTTGCCTGTATGCAGAGGATTATCACTGAAGGCTACAAAATTATAATTGGGCAGAGTCATCTATAATTAGATGCAAGACCTATGGACCTAGGGGGTCCACAGACCAAATGAGGGGAAGAGGTCACTGCTCGGTTGGGAGCATGTAGTAAGGGTGCACGAAATCTGAAGCTCTTCACAGACTAGGGATACCTGGTCTAGTGTGGGAAAGGGATGGAAAGGATGCTCTCTCCCTTTCACAATGGATGAGAATGGACAGAGAGCGAGGATGCTCACACTCCACTAGCATTTTCTTCTCTCTGTTTTTCAGACGTGCATTCAGCACTCCATACTGTAGGACTCTCCCCTTGGATGCATTCTCAACAGTTAGGACAAGTCTGATTCCCAGACATTAAAGAAAACTATATTAGTTTTCCTTTGTAATGCTTCATAGCCTCAATACAAACTATATGACTAGGAAGACTGGCCAGAAAATGGTAGCCTTAATTTTAACACCATCTTGCAGTTGGACCTACTTTGCAGATGACAGGGAAAATGGTCAGAGGTGCCCTATGTCCAGGCCATTATGGCTCTAAAAGAAGACCAGTATCTCTGCTAAAAATGCAGATGGGACTCTGCCATCTTGGCTCTCATGAGCCCCTCAGCAGATAATTCTCCCATAAATGTCTTAGGAAATTTCCCAGCAGAGCATCCTCAGCTTCCTTTAATCCTCCCACTGAGGATCCAAAGCCACCAGCTCCTTGTTCTCACCAGAGGAATAGGAATGGGCACTGGGACACAAGGCTCTGGAAGCTGGTATCAACTGGGAGAAGTTCTACATCTGCCTTAAAATGTTCAATGGGCAGTTAGCTATGCTTTGCATGACTATTGCCACTTTCTCAAGAAACAGCTTTCAATAATGTGCAAACGGCTCTTTTGGGAAAAAAATATTTCCAAGACTATAGAACAAGTTTGTAGGGCCCGTGCCCTTTGCACATTAAACATTTTGCACATTAAACAAGGAACCAAACCTCCTTTTCTTTTCCAGCCAGTCCAGTGGAAGGTCACTTATCCTGGGGAGGACTGGCCGTTTGACTTTACCTGACTTCTTGCCTGTCAAGGATTAAATATCTTCTGGTCTTTGTAGACATATTTACAGGTTGAATATAAGCGTACTCCATGTGAATGGAAAAGCAATGTGTGTAGTATAGGCCCTCCTTAAGGAGGTCATCGCTGGTTTGGCATCCACAGGTCACTGCAAAGTGATCATAGTACATCCTTCACTTCACAGGTTACTCAACTTGTTTCCCAGGCCTTGGGAATCAGTTACTTTCTAAATTCCTCCTGGCACCCACAACACTGTGGAATGGTTGACAGAATTAACAAATCTCTCAAGCAAACCTTGGAAAAATTATTCCAAAAAACTTCAAACCATGACCAAAACAATTACGTATTGCTCTACTAAGGATGAGAAACATACCCATCTCTAATTTACAACTCAGTTCTTTTGAGTTATTATGTGGAAGACCCTTTCTTCAATTTCCTATTGGATACTGACCTTACCAATTCTAATTATGTTAATTCCCTCTCCCAGTTTCTGCTGGTGGCTCAAAAACTAGGCCAAAATATATTTTCACACCCTGAAAACTCTGACCAAATTTTAAACCCACCCGTACTCAAGTTCTCATCAAGATTTGGAAGGATGGAACTCCAAACTCTCAACTGAGTCTTATTTGGAGAGGTCCTTACACTGTTTTACTCTCCACTCCTATAGCACTTATGGTGCCAGGGATCACCAAGTGGATCCACTATTCCAAGGTAAAGCTATATGATGCGTCTCGGGCAGAGGAAGTCCTAGAGGTGCCATTGGACACCTGGACCACTTGTCCCCTCCAGGATCTCAAACTCCTCTTCAAGCAAAGCCAAAAGAATAAACATAGGTAAATTAGTAATGCTTTGGTCCTGTTATACCATGAGTCATAATACTCCTTGCAGGTTTACTAATATGTCTTTGCTACTATGAACCAAAATCCCCTCCAAGAAAAGGTCTGTTCTGTACTACCTGAATTAAATCTCAAAGCCATAATCTGGGCGGCATTCTCTCTAATACCACTCAGTTAACAGCTTCTGTTTCCCTAATCAAGAGACATCTTGATTTGGCTTTAATCTGTTCTCTTTGGGATCATGCAACTCAGTGCTCTATGCTCACTAATGCTTCTACCTAAAATCACCCTCATAGGCCCCAGCAGCCCACAACCACAACAAAAATCTCTACAAGCAGCTCAACAACTACTAAAGTTCACCAAATCTTCCTGTGCCTCATCCTATTGGCTATACATGAATTCTTTCCACCCAGGGCAGGAACAGCTCCCCAGCCATGATACAAGAGTAGGCAACTATTCAAGCCCAATTTAGATTCACCTATCATTGGGAGCTCTGCATACAAAACATTCCAAGAGATGTCATACGGTACCTAATACAAGTTAAAGTGGACATTCAAGCCTTGTCTAAGCCCACTTGCACTATTTTAGGCCCCTTGTACTCCCCCATTACCCTCATCAGCCAGGCATCCCTAGGCATCACTACTACCAGAGATTCTGGAACTTTTGTGGGTTCTCTTAACTCTGAACACTTCAACACAACCATCACCATTGTTAATATCTCTCATACTTTTTTCTCTACAAACTAAAATCTCCAAATACTAAGTAAGGTTCTCTACCCAACCAAACCAGCATTGGGTCATGCAAAAAGTTTCAAATCTTTAACTCCCTTTGGGAGGTTCTTCTCCTTACCGTTACTGGACACATGATCCTCTGGGAAAGAAGAACCATCCTTCTATTCAAATTAGTCACCCATGTCTGGCTCCCCTGGCAGCTGAATCTTTAGTGACAGAATATCACGTCTCAGGTAGCCAACAGGTATATTGGTCAATGTTTGGAATTGACCTTGCCTCCTTCAGTGTCCGTCCTTGTCTACCTATAACAGAACTTTATTTTCTATGTGGGACACAGGCCCACCTCTGTCTCCCTGCAAACTGGACTGGAGATTGCTCTCTGGCTTATCTCACTGCTAACATCACCATTGCTGCCAGTGATGCTTCTCTGCCTTTTCCCTTATTTATTACCTCACACTGGGCCCACCAAACAATACAATTAATTCCCTTTCTCATCAGACTTGGCATCACCACAGATGCCATGATAGGAATAGCCAGCATTGGCACAGATTCCTCAATCTACCACAGCCTGTCTCTAGAATTGACTCAAGAGATAGGAACCACTGCTTGAACTGTAACAGAGTTACAGTGGCAAGTCAATTCTCTTGCAGCTCTAGTTCTCAAAAGTGGCTGAGGTCTTGACATGCTGATTGTAATTTAGGAAAATTAGTCTATGCTTGGAGAAAAGTGTTAATCTGGGTTAAGAAACCAGGGCAGACCCAGGAGCACATTAGAGATCTCATAAACCAGGCCTCTCGTCTTTGGGAAAGGACTACTGAGGGTTGGCTCTCCTGATTCTGACTCTTACGGTTCATCCCTTCCTAGGACCCCTGGCCTCTACCTTCCTTCTTCTCCTTTCTGGGCCTTGCTTCTTGAACCTGCTAACTAGGTTTATCAACCTCTTTCCTACCCTGAAGGACAATCAAATCCTTGCACGTCTCCACTGGACACTGTGGTTCAAACCTTTAGAGAATACAGCAACATCTCTGAAACCTTGTCACCATGAAGCAAGCAAGGCAGGACCATGAAGACCTCGATACCCCTTTTTAGCAGAAAGTATCTACAGAAATGCCCCCATCTCATTTCCCAAAAGATGTCTGGGTCCCCAACTCCTTGAGGATAAATGTAAGAGTAGGCAGTTGGTCAGATATGAGCAGGCAGGAGGGGAGTATCCATGTTGGAAGGAACAGCCCAGAATACCTCTTCAGATGACCAGTACTCACTCTATGGTCAAACTCAAATGTGGTTAACTAGATCCTGATAAGGAAGGAAAAAGGCAAAAGTAGAATTCCTGAGAGCTGCGCTGGTGCAATGAGTACAAATTTGACTGCTATATGACCTTTCTGGGTGGCAGTAATGAGCAATGTCACTATTGGTAAGATTATATTGATCTCTAGGTCCAGTACACATGCATTACGAACAGTAAAGGAGAAGCAAGACCAGTCAGGCATGGTGGCTCACGCCTGTAATTCCAGCACTTTGGGGGCTGAGGTGGGTGGATCACCTGAGGTCAGGAGTTCAAAACCAGCCTGGCCAACATGGTGAAGCCTGGTTTCTACTAAAATAGAAAAAATTAGCCAGGTGT